TCAGTCTGCAGTGTCACCGGGGTCTTTGTTCTCGCGTCCTGGCCTCCGGGATTGGGTGCGGCCTACCTGGCTCTTTGGGCGCTTTTCGGCTGGGAATCTCGGTGGTATGAGTCCGGCCCACACTCGGACCCAGGAGCGCTGCAGCTCCCGGAGAACTCGACTCTGGTTAGTTCTGGTGAGAAGGTTGTTATAAAGACCTGCCTCCTGACCCCCAGCTTCCTGTCTTGCCACATGATCTCTCCTTGAACTGTTCCTACCGCGATGCCTCCTACCAAGAGGCCCTCCTCAGAGCTCTTCCATGCTGTTTAAACTTTCAGTCTTGCAAACTGTGAGCTAAATAAACCTCTTTAAAATAAGTCACACAGCGTCAGGTACTTTGCTACAATGGTGGAAAATGGACCAAAGACATGTCAGTGCTTACAGAAACTAGTAGTTGTCTGTTATACACTGCAATAAATCTAAATTTCTTTTTCCAATTTTAAAGACTGTCCCACTCAGGTAACTACCTTTCTTTTACTTTCCAGATACTTATGCCTTGGTCCTGTCAAGTAGCTCTGGTCTCCTTTCCTGCCACTGGCCTATTCATTCCTACTTTTTCTGCTTATGCTTCTCTTCCGTGCCCAGTGCTTTGGTTTTGCGATGCTGTCTTTCCCTTTCCCACTCATTAAAACTGGATTCACTTGTCAAATCCCAGCTCAAATCTGACATTCACACAAGGTAGAGAGCTTTTGTGGGCACTTTGGAGACTTCCTCTTGGGGACCTCTGGCATTGCAAAATTTCCTGACCTGGGTGAGGCCCTCTCTTACGACATGTCCCCTTTGCTACTCCAGATTTCACACCATGCAACCTCTTTCTGCTATGACAGTCTGCACCCTGCTGGGCCACCCTCGGGTGGGGTCGTTTCAGGGTAACTCAGCCCACTGTCCTCTGAAACATTAATTCAGGCTATAAGTAGCAGAGTATTTTGTCCCACTAAGCTCTGGAAGTTCAATATTCTCTGTTCACTGTCTATCACAGACAGTACAAGCCAGCTTTTCTCATTTGGGCGTCTCTGGTGAAAACAGGCACTAGTTTCTGCACTTCCCAAACCTGAGGGAACATAGCCCAAGCCCTCTGTGGTTGGTGGAATGAAAGCTCATTAATGTTCACACTCTAATCACTGGAATTTGTAAATATGTTGCCTGTCTTTGTCTGTTTTCTGGTGGTATAACAGAATACCTGAGAATAGGAAACATAAAAAATAGAGGTTTATTTAGCACATGCTTCTGTAGGATGGGAGTTCAAGATTGGTGAGGTCCTCATGCTGTGTCATAGCATGATGGAAAACTGGAAAGGCAAGGGGATGTACTTAGAACAGACAAAATATTGGGGGTGGCCTTGCTTTACAACAACTTCTTCTTCTTCTTCTTCTTCTTCTCCTCCTCCTCCTCCTCCTCCTCCTCTTCCTTCTTCTTCTTCTTCTTCTTCTTCTTCTTCTTCTTCTTCTTCTTCTTCTTCTTCTTCTTCTTCTTCTTCTTCTTCTTCTTCTTTTCTTCTTCTTCTTC